TCGATCTTGGTAAAGAAACGCGAAATAGCTGTAGATAATTGAAAACCAAAATAGGCTTAGAAATTATTAAACAAAGGAAACATACTTACCCCAAGTCCAACGTCAAATACGATATCCGTAGATATCGGCACAGGCAACATCAATTGTCGTCCAAAACTCTTGCTCTCCCAAAAACCGCCGTTTATAGGAAAATCCTTTCTTTTTAATAGAAACACAAAATCCACGTAACAATACATGAACGAAATCTAACCGACGATTGAATACAACAATATCCGAAGATATTGACGTGGGACTTTAGAAAAATTTAATAATAATCTTGGTCTAACTCGTTCCTCCCAACCAAGTTAGCTAATTCCTATAATCGGCCCCTAACCTGTAACAGTTCTTGTTTCGGTTTGTTTTGCCGGTTGATCAAAAATTTATGCATTCTTATTGGTTGTTTTTGCCTTAACCAAATCGGGTAGATGTACTCCGCATATAGAGATGAATAAACCACCAGGGCGACCACCGAAATTTCGGGCCACGTGACAATTTTTTGGTGATGTCAGCGATGATGACCAATTACACAAAAATTCAAAAATAAACAAAACAAAGACATATTTTTTGAAAAAAAAGCTTTTATCTCAAAATATAGTCTATGAAACTATCTTTTATGTTATAATAAAAAATGTTCACTGCGAGATTTTACTATAAATTCATTTTTTGTTTGCCAAATAACCTTGACCCAGAGCCAACCCCTAACCCTTTTCGTGTTGTTGACGTCATCAAAAATTGTCACGTGACCCGAAATTTCGGTGGTCGTCCTGGCGGATTCTGAGTTTATTTTAACAGTCTCCGCATCAAAATGGCTTCCGGTTTAAGATATCCTGTTTTTACACTTTCATTGTGTTCATATATTTCAATGCTAATTTTTCTTTACTCAGAATATTGGCATCGTCATCCCACGGAATGGGGACTATCGCTAATTGGGACGATTTTTTCATTGAGAAAAACCCTTATTTAACTTTACGAGACTCGCACAATAGTTAGTATGGGGAGCTGGAAGTCTTAAAACGTGACCATAAACTATCTACTATCACAGGAAGGAAGATCGCCGCTCTTTTTAAAGAACTAAAGGTGGGTATTTTCGTTATTTCTGTGATGGGTACATGCTGTGCTACGCCTCACCCGCTGGCATGAGGAAGAAGAGCGTCCGGATTTGAGTATTCGTGACTTGCACAGCGTTGTACTACGCCTCACCCGCTGGCATGGGGTCATCCCGAACTTGACTTCACATGTGCTACGCCTCACCCGCTGGCATGGGGAAGAAGATCGTCCGGACTTGAGTATCCGTGACGTGCATATGTGAGGTTATGCTGCTACGCCTCACCCGTTGGCATGGGGAAGAAGAGCGTCCGGACTTGAGTATCGCGACGTGCAGCATTGCGAAAGTCCTGAATTAGCATTTTTGCTAATACTTTGTATTTATATTTCAAGGGAAAAAGTCAAAAAAATTGTTTGGACGGTGAGGAACTTCTTATCGATGTTGGCAAATTTCCTGCTTTGCTCGATTACTGTCAGGTTCTTGAGGAATTTCAAGAAAGCCACGTTGATGAGGTGTCTCAATCCGGTAGGCACCTCTCAAAGCTCATAAGGTGGTCGATCGTCGATAGCAAGCTATTTAAATATCCGTAATTCCTCCAACTATTGGAAGATCCGCGATGAATCTTGATTTTCTTAAAACATTGCTCAGGGAATATCGTGATGATAGATTTTCACACATAATCAACGCCATAGAAGTGTTGGCAAATAATGGAAGAATTGGAGAAGTAGTTTCCGGGTTTTGGAACCGAATGAAAAAGTCGCTTGACTTTAGTCAGAATACTAACGATTACATCATAGATACTCCAACAGCGCTGACAGCAATCATGTCGGTAGTTCTTTACAATCAAATGCCATGTCGCGGGCCCGGGAGCCAACCCACATCAAATCACAAATGTGGTCACGAATATTTTCGGATTCGTTCATCCTGAACGAAGTTCGTTTCGAACCAGTGTGTGAGCTTCACCACCTTATTCCTGGAAATGGCAGCGAGGGGTCAGCAAGGTCCGACTTTGCAGCTGTAGTAATGAATGAAAAGCAAGGTCAATTCCCTTTCTTAATCGCAGAATTTGAACAACAAGGTTTCGAAGTTCACAAGGACTTCGCGGTTGTCGTTTGCGAAGCCGTATATGAATTAAACAGGATCCTATCGATGACGCGAAATCTCTCACCTGCTGAAGTACTCCAGATCAAGGTATACGTCGCTCTTGCTAACGACACATCAATCAATTTCGGTATAATAAGACCTATATACAACGGTCAGGAGACAGCGATTCTTTACGCATACGATCAGAACGTTGTATACTATGACCTTCGAACAGGAAATCAACAGAACGATCTGAAGAACGCCCTTGACCTAATCGTGTATCTTCGGGAAGTTGTGTGCAAGGATGGATTAATCATCAAGAACTTCCTGACCGGATGGTCAGCTCATCGCAATCAAAGTATTTTATGGATCCTACCAAAACTTCCGACGAAAGCAGAAAAATCCAGAGAAACGGACACCAAGTATACGCCTAAGAAAAGGCGAATAAGATACGTGTACCAAGGAGTCGGTTTTAAGTGCAGCTAGAAATATACATCAGATTAAAATAAACCATTTTAGTTCAACTTATTACAATCAAAGAAAAGCGTTGTTTTGTTACGCGTAATTACGTTATTTATGTTTATACATGTATTGCATGTACGTTATTAATCAATCTCGTAAATAAATGCTTGAAAATCGTTTGTTTCAAAAGAATCAAAGAAGGCAGCGAGTGGTGCGTTACGCATTTACTAATTTTCACCCGAAGTTTTGATTGGCTGAGGATATTAAAGGTTAGTTTTAGCGTTAGGATTAAGGGTTAGGAGTGGAGGAAAGGTTACATGTAAAATTGCTTCCCCGACATTTTTTATTAGTGCTTCAAAGCAGATTTAAGCATTCATTTTCTGTATATTTCTTTTTTAATTTTCTTGTGTCGGATTTGTTTTTCCGGGTTGATCAGCGATGGAAATTACTTGTATCCAATCACAACTTCGGGTGAAAATTAGTAAATGTGTTGGGTTACACATCTAAACATATACATGTACATGTAATTATTTTTAGTGTAACAAATTTCGTTAATCTCGTGATTTCTGAAGGAGCCCGTTCGTCTCGATTCCAACAAGTCATTCCGATTATCCGAGTTCCTTAGTGTAATGTCCCATCCTTTCTATTTTAAATCGACTCCTGTCCAAAAATAGTAGTTCATTTACGAAATTCGCTTTTCGTTTTCGACTTCGCCATCAATTTTCCCCTTTTTTTTATGAATTCGTCTTCCATTTCTCATTGTTTCTCTCCCCACGCTTGATTGTAATCACGATTTCGCTTTTGATTGATTTTATTTTATTTCCTTTTTCTTAAAAAGTTCTCTCTCTTCAATAGTATACATAGTAATAAAATCTAGAGCAATACTATATGATGTAAAAACAAAAATGTATATATAGTCCTCGTGGATGTCAATAAAAGAATAATTAATTGTGTACAATTCTTTCACCCGTAATATAATCTTGTTAAAAGATTGAAATGATTAATGGTTAGGTCCTTTAATCCAGAAAAGGCATTGTTATTGATTAAACGGCATATTGATTGATAATAAAACGCATTGTGTAGAATGGTTTAAGGCTTTGCCTAGAAATAGCGATTATTATTAATATAAGTAACCCGTCACTTAAGATTAAAGAAATCGACTCTCCCAAATTCTCTTACCTAAACATAAACCCTTGTAAAGCCCCTCTAATATTACCAAATCCAACAATATCCGTAGATATTAACACAGGAATTAGATAACGAACGAGTACAGATCAGTCTATATACTCTCTCCCCCTCAATTGTTGTAGGTAAAATCGCTAATTACGCCTAATTATGAACACCAACAACAGTATGATAACTTGATCGACATTTGATTTAATTAATCGAACCAATGTCACATACGAGGTGTATATCATAACGATAATTTCATTCACCAAATGGTTGTAATCTCGTACATAAGCATCCCAAAAATATAAATATCTGCAGCTTAGTGTATAGCTTTCCATTTAATACCTCCGGACCCATATAAGGAAGTACTCACCCCGTAAATTTCTCGATAGGATTTTCTACCTGCTGGATCGGTAAAATAAACAATGAAAGCATTAATATTTGCAAGGTGAAAGTCACGATGCACAAGTTTCTCTACGTGAATTCGTCTCAGTCTCCCTAATATAACTTTGCTTTCCAAGTTAATTCTTCATAGTTGAAAGTAATATATCCTTATAATTATATTTTGGATAACCCATTACTATTGAGTACAAGTGGCTCTCGTTATAGTAAACTCTCGTTATAGTAAAGACTAATTAAACGCTTGATATAGTAAAGTTCGTCCAAAACCAGTCTATAATAAATCCTCTCGTTATAGTAAATTTACTAATAAACTCTCGATTTGAAGATTTTTTACTAATGGTACGGATGCCTTTACTATAACGAGAGTCACTTGTATTCATTCGTAGCTGGATTTTTAGTTATTGGAAAGCAAAGATCACTGAACTTTAGAGCAGTCCGAATCTATTTTTTGAAAGCTAAAATAAGAAACATGCTTAAATTTTTTATCTTTACCTCTTCTCTGTGACCCACTCATATCTATGAAAGGATGCTTTACAAATTGTACCTTTTGTAAGACATTCAATATTGGTAAATTTTTCAAATTTGAAATGATTTCTGATTTCATGCATTCTTTTATTAGACAGTCGATATCCTTCTTTCGTTAGACCATTCAGTTTCATAAAGATGATAGTGAAAATCGAAATATTCACTGCAATAATCTCTTTTTCTTGACAACAAGTGCATTTACTACAACATGAATTGATGTCTCTTCATTCTTATCGTTATTAATTTTATCTAAATAATGAATTAAAAGTTAATAAAAAGGAATATCAAATAGTGAACTTACCTTCATGAGGCATACAACTGCTTGTTGATTTGACATTGATATCTCTTTAGTAGTCAAACAATTCTTTAATATTTTAATATCGATATTAATTTGTTGATACTATTTACCTTCATTTGGAACATACAAACTGACACTTGTAGCACCTCACCTAAATAAATAAATTTGAAATGAACAATTTCTAAAGTATAAAGAGATTCAACAATAGCTTCAGAGTGCAAGAAACATTATTTAATTATACATACACTATATTAATGATTTATGCAAGACAAATACAATGTATATACTCGTCCAAATTTGTTCATGCAAAATGATGCATTTTTGTATGAATAGGAGATAAATCAAAAACATTTAGAATATTTTCTCCTAGAGCTGCGTAAAATTCACGAAGAGGGATTTGTATATTATAACTTTTACGCTAGAAATATAGTAAGCCATACACTCAAGCAATAGATACTTATAGCTTTGGAATAGTTACATATTCTATCTTGTATAGGACATCTATAAAAGAGTACATCTAAGATACCAAATAATGGTACATGTACAATATTTTGTATTTTCAGTATTACAGCTATTGTATCTCGAATAAGCAATTCAGAAATGACAGATGAAATTACCATCCAAATGCAGTATATACTTGTATTTAAAGTACATGTATAAATCATGTTGATCAAGTTTATGGTACATGTACATGTTCATGTACGTATATGAATATACACAGTAACGATAATATATTTGCAGAGTGAAGTCACAATGCACAAGTTTCTCTTCATGAATTTTCTCATTCTACTGATAATCAACTTAATGTTTCACAATTGTAAGCTAGATTTTTTAGTTATTCCGTGATAATTTATTCTAAATTAAACATCACTGAACTTTAAAGCAGTCTGAATCTATTATTGAAAAGCTTAATTCGTGATCCAATTTTGAATAATGGATAAATATATGAATATTCAAATTAAATTTTATCAGCTGAATATTGTGATTCGTAGGAAGAATTTTGGCTCCAGATTATTGATTTTCATATGAAATATGTCCCTGAATTTATATGAATTTATATTTCTTCACTCGCGGGTCATGAATTAATTGTATTGGAAACTTAGCAATAATTCATTTTATCTTATTTATAAACTCGGATGTAATTTACTTTGAATTGTGTAATAATTTCAACAAACATCGATGTAGATTGATTAAATTCATGAACCCCAACCACCTCCTTTTGCAAGATATATGTACTTACTCTTCTTTCAAAAGCTTGTTCTAGTTTTCATACATTTTTTTATTAGACAGTTGATATCTTTATTTCCAATAGACAAATCAGCTTTATAAATTCATTTGTGATATTCAGAACATCACCAGCAGTATTCATTTTCTTGACACCAAAGTGTACATTTACTAAAATCATGAGTGTTGTGAACTGAACACTTTCATCATGTTAACAATACCAGCATCTATCATAATCATGGGTATTAGATTTCATCTTTGAGTTCACATTTTAATGATTGTGTGCAGTATTTTATTTAAAGCTTTAAAATGATGAACCAGACAATAATATAAATATAACATTATTAATAATACATGAAATTTTGCTTTATAATGAAAATAACAAAAATCTTATGTGTTGGTTTCTTGAAACATCGAGTTTTCATATAGCTTTGAAATTTTTTGAATTTGTAAATCTGTTATTTCGATTTAACGTTAATATTAATGTAAACTAAAATTTTAAATCTTGATAATTTTTTTCCTCCATGAATCAATTTAGCGACTGGTTTATATTTTTAGCCAACATTATTTTTCCTTTAACATTTCAAACATTTTTTGAGATTAAACTAACTTTTATTTTTTGTTTACATTTGAAAATAAAGCTTCAATGTACTCGCATTTTATATCTCGTATTAGATGAATATTCATATTTTCTGTGTAAATTGAAGAGTGATATATCCTCAGATAACTTCACATTAAATATCTCTCACTGAACAATCTCAAGAAAATTCTGAAATATAATCTTTCTTTTAAATTTAGTATTGAAGTAATCTCCTCCCATGCGTTAAGATAAGTGATGGTGTTGCAGTATGAATTAATTAGTACAATAATAAATAGGGAGCAATATAGACTAAATAAATTCTAAAGCCTGTGCTGAAATAATTAGGATGTTATTCTGAGAGGATCCATACGAAATTCTGATATTCGTAATTCTGACAGTACATAAGTCCAACTGACAAAATCCTGAAACAGAAAATTACAAAATTCTGACAGTTACAAAATCCTGATTCTAAAACTGTTCTAGCATCCTCCTAAAAGTTATGTAACTGAGTTTTAAATTTTCTCTGAACAAATATTCATATAGGTTGCTACGATTAATATTTTCAGAATCAAAGTCAAGAAAAAAGCATATGTAATTTCGCTGATTTTTTTTAGTAAAATTATTTATTTTGAATGTAGAGTTAGTAAATTTTCGAATAATTTAGTCAAATGTACTCATCAATTCTTTCAATTATAATCTTCGCAATAATAAAAGGACAAATCTTTGCAATTTAATAGTTGTGCTAATTTATTTGAAAATATGCCATTTCTTTTGTGTTAATGATTTTTAACAAGTCTTTTTAATAAAATTAACTTTCAATATCGA